AAAGAAAGTAGCGAATAAATTAGATAGTCAGATAGTTAGATAGTTAGTCAGTTAGATAACCGGTTGATTAGGTCAGTTAGTTAAGTTAATTAATTCGAATTTTTAGCGGTTAGTTTATATAAATTTTCAAGATGTTTCTGTGCTAATGGTGGTAATTGTGTGTTAGATGGTGCCATAGAATTTGTTGAATAATTAGGCATGTGTGTTAGTTGCGGTAAATTGGGTTTTTGCTTATTACCCTTAGTACTATTGGGTTTTCGTTTGGTACCTTTGGAACCTACAAAACAGTTATTTACTCCTTTTTCTATTACTATGACATGTTAATTAAGTTATTAGACAGCAGAAAAGTAAAAACATTGTCGAAACTTATCAGCTTTCATTTTGATGATTTCTTTTTTGAGCTCTTTGAGCGTATATGTATTCAGATTTTTTCGTAATTCTATCTTTTAGAGTTCATAATAGTTGTCTAATAATTGGTCAGCATTCATATACTAATTAATTATATAATCCTGTGGATAACCCTGTAATGGGTTTCTAGTGTGTCATTATTATAGAAGTGTTTGATGCAATATTTACACAGTACTCTGATACCTTTCATATAATCATGTGCTTCTATACAGATTTCATCACAGTCGTTACTTAGGATAAATTTATAGCTATTATTACTATATTTTTCCATTAACTCATATTGTGCTTTACTTATATGATAATTATTGGTCGGTGACTTGAATTCAATACAGAGGCCTTTATAATCTTTGTTATAATCGAGTATCATCAAATCAGGCTGTCCTCTCATATATCCTTTCTTATACGAATCGAGGCGTTTGTCATTAGTATCTTGATTCTCTCCGAGACCTGCTACTAATATAGTATCTGGATAATATTTCCTTATGAGGCTCACTACTTTATAATGGAGGTCGGTCTCATTACCAATCATAATCATTTTATTCCAGACTATCAAACAGCTTGTATTGACCATATTTACGGATAGATGGGAGGACTTGTGATGTTACCCAGTGTTTGAACTTTTTCGCAGCTTCTAATTTTGAGGATAAAACAAGAGAGTGAAAGCCAGACTCATTAATGAATGTATAATATTTCCCTCTGGTGTCATTTTGTTGAGGGGGCGTTTCACCCCCCCCCCGCAACATTTGGGGTGTTTTGTTGGCGCTCCGTTTTGGGTACGGCAACAAATTAGCTGTTTATCCTCATTATCAACATGATCCCATACGACTTTTCTTGTATTACTATAATCAAGGATCTGAGCAATATCTTTTCCTCGGAACGAAACATTTTGCTTATCATCAATATATGATGTCAGCTCAGTTTCTAAATCTTTATTAACAAACTTTTTTTCAATCATGTTCATCATATATAGATTACATAAATATTATCATGCAGACCAAAAATATGATGAGCATGATAGATTAAAAAGTATGGTGGGTCTGAGGTGCCGTTTCAGCACATTAGACCTGAGGTGGCGTTTTACCATCCCAACAAAACTGCCGCAATTTATTTTTCTCTAGTGTCATTTTGTTGAGGTCGCGTTTCACGACCCCAACCTACCGTACCCATTTTGGGTCCGCTGGTAATTTACTCTTTCTCTTCCTCCTCTTCCTCCGTTTCAAAGATGGCACCTAAAACGCCTGTTAATGTCATCTCAGCTGATTCCAGTTTTTTGGATATTAATTTCTTGTGGTATAATGTCGCAATCTCTTCTTCCAATTTTTGGATTTTAGTGAACAGTGCATTAAGCTCGGATTCCTTACTCTGGATTTTAGTATCAAGCTTTCTTATATGATCGTCCATATATACTATTAGTTAGATAATTCTTGCAGGTTGCTTAGTGGAATCCAACTATTAAAATCGTCACTATAACCCAACCATTTTACAAGAGCTTGTTTCTTCTTATAATCCCTCCGAATGACCTTTTCAATGCGAAATACATCCTGTTTTGCTGGCAGTAATTCTGGCTCATAAAAGTTGCCTTGTATTTCCTCATTGTTAAGATCTTTTAATCTGTAAGTAATTGGGTTTGTGGATTGGATTTTATCAACCAGAAATATCTCCTCTGTCCAATTAGGTGTGTACCCTTTATTGAATACCTTTCTCTTGTACTTACTTAACCTAACTTTATCGCCAATCTTGAATTTGGGCTTAGATGACAACTGTGTCATATCACCATACAGATTGTAATATACGGTATTTTCATTCTTCTTCTTACTAGCTTCTACAGGAGTCATTTTAATGGAACTGTGTTTGGTGTTATTATACTGCTTCAATATTTTTGGTAGTATGTCTAAATATATGGTATTACCCTGGAAAGTAAACTGCTTCCACATTTTGGTTTTAATTGTACGGTTCCATCTTTCACATACACTAGATTTTTCCTCATTCTCGGTTGAATATAGTGTTATATTATTCTTTTCCAACAATTCTTTCATATTTTTGTTATAATACTCTTTCCCCTTATCAGTCCAAAGATATTGTGGTTTACGGCCCTCTTTGAAGATAGTTTTGAATGCTTGTGTGACAGTTTCCCCTTTGTTATCCTTTAATGGTACAATCCAGCCATATTTGGAGAATAGATCTAGTACCATGGGAAAATATCTATAACCTTTGTTCCATTTGCTGAACTGTTGCATCTCAACCAGATCTGAGCACCAAATTTTGTCAATACCGGTTGAAATAACACGCCGCCGAGTAAAGCTGCGTTTTATTGGTTTATGTAATTCGTCCGCTAATTGTTGTTGCCAACTGATACCCGACGGCTTTTCTCGTTTAAACCAAGACCGAGTTTCTGTTTTGTGTTTATTAGATTTCTAGCTAACCAGTGTCCCCAATGTCGTTCATTATAAGGAATGGCGTTTAATGATTAATTTACCATTTTACGGTCAGCTTTATTTTTGCACTTTCGGTTATCACCACAAACACTATAATCAACATCATGTTGCATGGCCACGGCATCGGTTGGCCCAGTTGGTTGATCATAAATTTCTAATATTTCACCNGACGGCTTTTCTCGTTTAAACCAAGACCGAGTTTCTGTTTTGTGTTTATTAGATTTCTAGCTAACCAGTGTCCCCAATGTCGTTCATTATAAGGAATGGCGTTTAATGATTAATTTACCATTTTACGGTCAGCTTTATTTTTGCACTTTCGGTTATCACCACAAACACTATAATCAACATCATGTTGCATGGCCACGGCATCGGTTGGCCCAGTTGGTTGATCATAAATTTCTAATATTTCACCAGTTTCTGGATTGTATCTGACTTGATTTTCGAGATCGTTGTAAGGACCTGTATACCGATTTCCTGGTAAAGTCCATCCACCTGGCGGTTTTGGTAATTTACCAATCTGCTTGTGGATATCTATAGCACCTCCATCAAGATCTTTTTGTTTGTTTTGTAGTTTTTCTTTGGTCGTATTTTGTTGATAACTTGTCAAGAGCTTGAGAACCGACATTCTGGATCATTGGATTCAATTTAATTAGAGCATAATCTATAGCTTTTTTCTGTAACTTTTTATTGCGTAATGCTTCTGACCCTTAATACCTTCCCATCTCAACGGTCTTTTTGGCCATATATGGTAGGGCATGATGTACAAACCCATCAAGAGCAGTACCAGCTATTGTATCGATTACGCCTGCCCCTAGGACAGGCTGACCTAGTTTCCCTTCTTGACAAACTTAAACTTTTTTATTCCGCATTCAGCACAAGTGCACCAAAACATAAGTCTACCATTCTTGGCAGTGTTATAACCCGAAGGTTCTACACATTCTGTTTGCTTCTTCTATTTAACACAATAAGATTTCACCATTATTATATATTTATGTTGTATAATTATTGTCTAATCACTATCTAGAACATAAGTTTCATAGCTGCTATCTGACTCATAATCACTTTCACTCAGGGGTTCACAGTTGCAGCACTCGAAACATCCATATTGATTCATATAATGTGGAGTAACTTCTTGGCAATAAACACAGAACTTTCCAGTCATATATAATAGTGTTACATAAAATAGTTTATCAGAAATTGGTGATTTATCATTTGATTTGTGAAACTGAATTTGGGGTTGTGTATAACGTCTAATAATGATTTTCCTTTCTGTCGCTCTAGAAGATAATATAAGCACCAATAACCGCATAAACACTGTCTCTTTCTTGTATTTCATCGGATGAGTACACTATTTTCTTACCGCTTGTTTTCAGATAATTTTTGATTTCATTGGGCATGATTAATCCGAACGGGTCAAAATATTCACAATATTGTTTATCCACATTTCTATAACAGACCCAATGACTGCCCCCGCCCACTGAATCATCCAAATTAATTATTCCTGTTTCCAATTTGTGTATTTTTTGTTGTAAATTATTACGGCTGTAGATACCTCTGAAATACTTTATTCCTAATTGTGTAACCCATTGTGACTAGTCACTGTTCGATGGTTTATTTATGAATCTTACAGTATTGTTCCTAGAATTGGGATTGAATTGAATGGACTTTTTTTTTCCGAGCAGCAGTCCCTTTCCCTTTCTTTTTTTTTTTACTCCCGCAGCAACCGGGTTTTCCCATTTTCCAAAGAAGGGTGGTGACATATAAGGATACGGATTATACACTCCATGACCATTAGTTGTATCGGGAACATAAACAGATGTTGTATTAGCGGAACCGGTTCTGTCAGCCTGTAGTCCTTTTCCCGTCAAGGCATTTAGTAATAAAGGGACTCCTATACTCGCTAGTAGAGTTCCTAAAAAACCGCCCTGCTGTGTTTTCGTCGGTCTGATAACTAATCCGTTGCCAGTTTGGAGAGACTTTAAGAAGATCCTTTTTCTGACCTGTGGTCAGTAAATGTCTGTACGCAATCAATTGTGCCATTTTATCCATTGGAATAAGGAATCCTCCCCGTTGGCCTTTCCCGAATATCTCATCCACACCGAGACTGGCTAATCCTGATAACGCTCCTGTTACTAGTGGAGCAGCAGCCCTTTTGGCTCATGGCATTGCCATAGGTAGTAACTTGCTTCCTAAACTGATTAATGATCCCCACAAAAAACTACCGCCCTGTCTAACAGCCTTTCTGATTTGTGTTTTTGATATCTTGATATCCGATCCTGTACCCTGGTTCATTGCCTTTTTCAATTTATTGATCTGAGATTTTGTGAGCATTAATTCATGTGGGCCGGATAACTCATTTCTGGCTAATCTGATCGTTATTGCTGAGTTATTATTATAAGCTCTCGAAAGCTTTTCCAATTGTCCTTTACTAAGAGACACACCATAAGGATAATATTTCGTCATTACTTATATATAATATACGTTACATGATTAACGGTTACATGATGGGTGGTCACATAATTTACGATCTGAGTATTATTTTACCATCCTTCTGTATTAGCTCAACATCCTGTTCGTATAATGTTTATGCGTAAATTGAGTAGGCTGTTGCCGTGGTTCCAGATAGCTCATATTTAAATGTCAGTTTTGTAGTGCCATCCTTAATCTCCATTTTCTGTTTTGTTAGGTCGAAATATAGGAAGGGGAATAGCGTACTAAAATTAGATTTATTGAGTAATGACCCTTCACCGTATTCATTATTTTTTTTGAACATATTTCAACACATGCCTGAAGACTCTAGTCATATCAGTACTTGGTGTGTAATGTATCTCGGGGTATTCGTTACCGTTTCCGACTTCCAGGTGACAATTAGATAAGGTTCTTGGGTTAGTCGATACAGAGAATGTATTGTACAAGAATGGATTAGCTGTCTGGGCATCGATATTTGCATCATTGATTATGAATTGTTTGTGCACAGCCCCAAAGCTTTATGGTCTTCTCTAAGACTTTACGGGTCGAGAGACGACCGATGATAAACTAGAAAGTTATAAGAGAGAGTTTATTCAGGTGAATACTAATTTAAGGTATTGGCTCATGTAGGATGATTGGCCTTCACTGTTAAATGTAACCCGTGGAACATACGATTGCATCCTGGTGATAACCACTCTGCAATCAGCCCCGGCTTGCCAAATTATATTACCATCTGACTCAATATCAAAATCCATCTCAACTCTTGTATTGGGTAACAGCTCATCCTCTAACATTTCGAAGAATGAGTATCTATTCAGTGGTATTTCTGTATTCACTTTAGCTGAGACACCTAACAGTGCTTTCCGAAGGGCAAAACCCTTATTGTATTCTGCTCTTCTTTTGGCTAACTGATTTGTACCACTAACTTCAAATTCCCGCTCTTCTGCATTTCTGGATGTATCAAGATAGAAAAACTCATTACTGGCTGTCTTATCAGCGTAAGATGGACTGTACTCAAGTAAGTTCTTAATATTAACCGCGTGATTCGTGTCATCGCAATCATACACTTTCTTACCATTGAGCTTAATATCAAAATGTTTCAACAGTGAGTACGACCCGTTTACAATACCATTATGATCTGCTACTGCAATATTGCCTCCATTAGCCAGCAAGACTACTTTAAAATCAAGACTGATACGAGCATTATACCAGTCAAATGGTGTAACCTCACCACTGTTATCAACAACAAACCTATAGCCATCCTTCTTTTGGTGAGCATTATTGGCGACAGTTGTATTTAGTGCTGTTTCTAGGTCAAAATAACATCTTCATATCGTTCAACATAGTTTGGATCTCTGAATGATTTCATATAATAATAGATTACATAAATCTTCTCATCTGACCCCCGGATGATAATTGATTCACCCTCTCATTAATCTCGTAATCGCTGAGTTCCTTCTGTGTATTTTTTGTTGGTGTTGTCGCTGCTAGTGTTTTTGTGTTTTTATTCTTTTTGCTTAATAATTGAATAATTTTATCGCCTGCTTTTTCGCCCGCATATTCACCAGTTTTAGTAGCAGCTTTTTGAACGGCCTTTTTTGTGCCGTTTTAGTAGCTTCCTTCATGGTCTTTCCAAACAACTTTCTGCCGATCGTTTTGAAAACATCGGTAACACCTTCTCCATAAATATGCTTCTTTTAAGAAGCATATAAAAGAAGCATATTTATGTTAAAACATGTCTCCCCGTTTTAACATCATCATTGTCTCATTGTATATTATTAGGTTACATATTATGCTGGTTTGGATCGCAATATCAATGTCATAAACCAGTTCATCTTATTTAGTCCAATTGGTCGCCCTAGTGAATCTGTAATGTAAAACCTCATTTGTGAAATATTAAGCTGCGAAACTTCATTAAACAATAGTCTTCTTTTTTTCAAATGTGAATGGGAAACTTCTTGTCAAATTGTCAGTTGGAATAACAGCCAACGTATTAGTATTAACACCATTCAATATGCTATTCGTAATGGCGTCTGTATTGATATAGATCATATCAATGGAATTTGTGATATTGGGAAGAATTGTCCCATATTCTGTTTTATTGACAATCTTTTCTGTGAATCCAATTAACTCGCCAAATTTACTATTTCTCAGATCCAGTTGGTAATTGTTGTCGATCTGAATGAGAATCTTATATGATGACAATACGAATGTTAAGTTAATATGGTATTTATCGCCAGTTTTATCGTCGGTGGTAAGATGGCCTTTCCTTTTCATGTACTGATGGAGATAGTCATTTAGGTCTGAGTAGGTGTACATCCCATCCACAAATTTGACGGTTTGCCATGATGTGCCACCATCAGGTGAGTATTTTATTTCCTTATTTTGATACTGATCTGAAATATTATGCCAACTATAAGTCATAGTGGCCTTCTCCAGTGCTATTTCATGTGTCATATTACTTTGGAGTTTTAAGACTGGATCAAATTTGATTATGAAATCTGCTTTATTCTGTCCCATTTTCTGTCTATTAACAGATGAAATATGGATTGCTCTTTCTTGCATTTATATTATTAGATTACATTATATACTGTTTTATCAGACTATTCAGCTGGTTGTTATTTAGAATGCCTAATTTGTTTAGTGTGTGAGCAATTTTGGAAAATTCATTTCTCACACCATTATTTCCAGCAAGTATTGAGCCACCTAACAATCCCAATCTGTCCAGTAGGTCAGCTGGGTTATTATAATAAACAACTCCTGAACCGATTTTTTTGTACTTATTACTGGTTCGGTGAATTGGAATATCACTTATTCTATTCAGGTCATCAAATACCATTTTTGATAATGGTGAATACTTCTTTTTACTATTTACTATTGAGCAGATCAAGGGTATCAAAGTCCACTTGCTTATCATATACTTTTTTACCATCCTTATGAGCAATTAGTTTCAGCTGGCCATAAAGTTTGGGCACGTCAATGGTTACATTTCCATAAACACCAGTATTAGGGTTAATCTTATAGGCATTCCTCTTTTTCTGTGTGTAAATACCCTGACCAACTTTCAATGTTTTTGTACCTTCCTCTAGAATGCCAATTCTTTGTCGGTATTTTCTTATGATATCTATTCCTTCATCATATTCGGCAATCTGGCCCCTATTCTTCTTTCTGTTAGCTTTTGTTGTACTCAAATGGGCTTTCTTCCTGCCTAACTCCTTATTAATTTCACCAGATTTATCCAGAATTTGTTTCGCATAATTTGGTTGTTTTAGGGTTTGCAAAAAGATGTCAGCCGGTAATGGCAATTGCTGGTTTTGAATGAATGCCAATTCTTCTTGAGTGAATCCTTTATTCATATCAGCTACCATTTTGGGTGCCACCTCACCACTTGGGCCTGGTAATGCTTATCTTTGAACTTGTTCACCATAGGGGATAACTTGTTTATTAACATCTTCTCTCAATTTACTGATTTCCTCAATTTCCTTATCAAACGTTTCTGTTAGAGGTTTTAGATCTTTAGCCACCTTTTCATACAAATCTTGATCTCTAGTTTCAACTTCTTTTATAACATCCCTAACAACTTCAGTCATTTTTCCTGCTTCAATTTTAGGAATACTGAGTCTCTTGAATCTTTCTATATCCATTATACTATTGTATTATATAAAACTTATCTGAACTTATCTCAATTTATCTAACATAATATTATATGGAGATTCCAAATTATGATTTCAATGAAGATGAAAATACAAACTTCAAACAGCTGTACAAGTATATTCCCAAATCCAATTTCCGGATGCTAATATGTGGAAATTCTGGTTCAGGTAAAACCAATCTACTTTATCACATCCTTATGAAACCATTAGTCTATTATGATCAGATCCATTTATATGGCAAAAATCTGGAACAGGAAAAGTATCGACACATGATAGAAACAATGAATGATATTAGTAGCCAAGTTGGATATGACATAATGCACTGCAATAATGATGACATTAAACCTGTCAATAGTCTGGAAAGTGATGCCCAGAAAAATTTAATATTTGACGACTTCATTTGTGATAAAAACCAAAAGCCGCTTATCGATTATTTCATTCAAGGCCGTCATAAGAATTGCAGTGTTATTTACCTTTCACAATCATTTTATAAAACTCCAAAAGATATCAGACTACACTGCAGTCATTATATTGTTTATGATTTCCCTAGCAGTAATGAGAGAAATATGATTTCTAGAGAGTTGAATGTAACAAAGGGTCAGTATATTAAAGCAACAAAACAACCCTATTCATTCCTGCATGCGGATAAACCAATGAAGACTGTCAAAAGAGACTTTTATGGAAATATCTAAATAAATAGTAATAGATGAAAATATCTAATATATTATTATAAAATGGGAATATTTAATCAGCAACCTAATTATACTCAATCATACTCAAAAGGAAAACGAGGAATTACTGGCCCTCAAGGACCTCCTGGCCCGCCTGGCCCGTCTGGTGCTCAGGGTAACCAAGGTCCAAAACGTGATCAGGGTATTCAAGGACCCAAAGGTGATCAGGGTATTCAAGGACCCAAAGGTGATCAAGGACCTAAAGGTGTTGGATTTAGTCTTACGTCAAGGGGGGATTATAGTATGTTAGGTAAACAACTGAAGGGTGTGGCTAACGGAACTTCGTTCACTGACGCAGTAACAAAACAGCAACTTGATACTAAACTGTCACTATCTGGTGGATTAATGACCGGCAATTTGGATATGAATAGCTATAGGATATACAATGTAGCACAACCAGATGGTGATAATCAACCAGCTACAAAAATATGGTCAGAAAATAAATTCCTGGATAAATCCAGTGGAGTTATGGCTGGACCACTAAACATGTCCAATAATAAAATCACTAATCTTGCCAAACCAACTGATGATAAAGATGGGGTCAATAAGAAATACATAGATGATAATTATTTGAAACTGTCCGGTAGCACTATGACTGGTCATATAATAT